CGCATCCTTGTCAGCTCCAGCCTCCAGCAACAATTGCACAACTTCCAAGTGGCCGTGGTTAGCTGCAGCAAACAAGGCCGTGGCCCCTTGTACTACAGCCACATCCTTGTCAGCTCCAGCCTCCAGCAACAATTGCACAACTTCCAAATGGCCTTGGTTAGCTGCAGCAAACAAAGCAGAGGCCCCATGTGCTACAGCCACATCCTTGTCAGCCCCAGCCTTGAGCAACAACCGTACTACTTCCAAGTGCCCATTGCGGGCTGCGATATACACAGCTGTTTCTCCATCTGCCTCTGCAGCATCTTTCTCGGCTCCAGCCTCAATCAACAACTGCACAACTCCGGAATGGCCCCCCCCGAGCTGCGAAGTACAAGGGCGTTGCCCCATCTGCTCGGGCCATATCCTTGTCAGCTCCAGCCTCCAGCAACAACCGCACAGCTTCCAAGTGACCATACTGAGCTGCGACATGAATAGGTGCATTGTTGCTGTTTCTCCCTTTCCAATTCGGATCCTGTGGCTTCTGGAGCAAACGTTCGATATCACACACCCTATTCTCCTCACATGCACGCAACAGTTCCTCCTCGACTATCTCGTGGGGGGCACAAAAACTCAAGATTACCAACTGCACACGTGGTAGAGGACGTAACGGCATGTCATCTTGCAATTCACCAATTTCGTCAGTCAGGAGTCTTTGTCGAAACCTTGAGCATCCAACCTGGGCTGCAAGGACTCGCTTCAGCTCACGAACAGTCCTTCCGCTTTCCACCATACAACGCACTTCATCCTCCTCAAGCTGAGCTACTATGGTGCCGGACACAGCCGTCACCTCCATGTCTGAGCGCGCCACTAGCGTCGATGGGACTTGAGCCGTGAGTGAAAACACTACCTGACCTGACCACCTGACGGCTCAGCCGTGAGTCTAAGAACAAACCCACCTGACCTGACCTCGGTTGGGGCTGGATCTGTCGCCGCTCTCGGCGCATGGAGGCTCATCCGGTGATGGGATGTGACTGACCGGTCGTCGCCCGTCGTATATACGATCCGGTCGAAGGCGTTCCTCAGGGATGGAGGCCGGAGGAACCAAACGATCCCAAACGAACCAGGAAACCAAACGGCACGTGGACTTCCTCCAAAGACCTCCACGGGAAGAAGAGAAACAAGAAGGCTCCCTGCACCAAAAAGGTCCCAGAACCCTCCACGAAACCCCACCGAGGGCCCCCCAAGTGCGATCGAAACCCTTCCGCCTGCACCGAGGGCGATCTTCGACGAGTCCTGGCGAAGCGGAGGCGCTGAAAGCAGATTTCGAACTAGTAACAAGTGCCTTACTACTAGTAACAAGAAGCTATTAGAAACAATAGATGGTTTACCTTGATGATGGTGATGATGAAGATGACGTTGTTTCATACCAGCATGTCCCAACAACTTGGATGTGCACGTCAATGTTGGGTAATCTGTTCATGCATGCGTTTCCAGCTTCTTTGGGAATCGTGTCCCTTGGAAAAGGACAAAGATATACCTCGCAAAGTTCCGACACTTCTCTGCCCCGTGTCCCACGCACGACGGCAGAGCGGCTTCGGCCCGTGCCCGCCTGGAGGAGGAGGACCTGCGTGTTTTTCATGTCGTGGCGATGCATTTTGGAGGGGTGAAGATGTGCCAAGGCGCGGAAAGCGGTTGACGCTTGATATTAAGAACACATACGAGTAGAACCCCACGATTCAGACTGGTATGACATCACCATCTATATATATAGTTCTTTCTTCAGCAGTCTCGAGTCTCTACATGAACTCATTCTGAGTGTGATGGCGAATGCTTGTTGATGCTCTTAAAATAAGGTGGATCTCGCCGGGTCTCTGCAAGGGCGGCTACACTGACTTGAATGAGTTCACCCATTCCACCGGCAAAGCAGCCGTGGCCGTGGCGCGTCTCGGCGTCTCCGTCGGTTTCGGGTGTATCCCCCTTCTCACAAATCAACCAACCAAGGGCGTAAAAGGTCATGACTCCCCCAGCCTCCTGCGCTTCTTGTGCTTTTTGGCCTGTCGAGCAAGCGACGAACTCTCCCCCCTTCGTGAGCGTGGAGCCGGGGCTATGAAGCGCCTCATCCGCTGTGGGAATAACGGGGGTCCTGAATGGTACAATCAGACAGTACAAGAAGCTACTAGTAGCAAAGGGCATCGCTGCGAACGGAGCAAGAAGCTACTGGTAGCTCCTGTCCCGAGTCCTCACAAAATAGGCGTGCACGACAATTCAACAGTGTGAATGAAAGGAACCAGCCTTGGCCTTCCTCTCTCTTGACCTCAGTTGTGAGAAGCCGTTCACCCATGTCACTCGCAATTCTACAAAAAAACTTGCACCAGGCACCAAAATCTTATGTGTGAACTTGGCCACCAAATCTACTGAAGAAATATGCTGGGTGGTGAAGCTCCGTGAAACTCCCCATCAACTGGGCAAATTGCCACAAAATTGCTGCTCTTTCGACACATCGTCACCCTACCCAATAGGTCAAAATCCTGCCTGACCTGTTCTCCTTGGACCAAACTTGAAGGCCCCCACCGTGATCTCCGTACAGCTCGAGGGGAAGACCTGCGGTTTCAACTCGAGTGAACTGGGTCCTTCAACATCCTTCAACGTCAGTGAACTGGGTCCCTCAAAAGGCACCTTGGAAAGCACCTGAAAGCTCTGAAATACTAGGTGTGTTTCAGCAACTATATGCTACGTTCCATGGTTTCTCAGAGGATCATGAAAGTCAGGCCCCAACTTATCCAAGATCCACTTCGCGACAGTCAACCGCCCTTCCAAACCCCCCTTTCCCTTCAATCATTGCAATCCAAAACGAGCCTAGGAACACAAAGGGCATCGCTACGAACGGAGCAAGGATGCTATTAATTAGGGGCTCATGGCCTTACTACTAGGAACAAGGGCATCGCTACTAGTAACGAATGCTCTTAGGTTGGAGGCAATAGTATCAAAAAGCCATGTTCCAGCTCCATGTCCCGCACAGCTCCCGCGGCCCCCCGACCTCGAGCGGGCGGCCGGAAGGGTCGCGCGCGCGCACGACGACCAAACCGACCGACCAAGACGGTGCCTGGATCGTCGGGCGCGACCCATGTTGGATCGTCGAAGACGTCCTCGGGTGGCGGGTGCTCGGTGCCATTTTTTGTTCGGTTCACCGGGAGTTCACATGCGGAGCTCACTGAGCTCACACCAATTGTCCTGAGGGTTCTTTTTTCCTGGCCTGTTGACGAAAAGGCCACAACTGTTGATGAAAAATCATTTAAAGCCCCCAACGGTTGGGGGGATGGTTTTCTCTCTTTAAAACAGAAAACAACTCGATGATCGCGTACATTCCACGAAGCAACTGCGAGGGGTTGGAATCTCTTGCCCTTTTGAACAGCCACATCACTGTCGTCCCGGGGTCCACTCGAAATGTCCTTGGACATCGAGCGTCTGAACGGCAGGATCAACTAGACCATCCTGAACCAAGTGGGCCAGGAACCACATGACGTGGTTCAACACATGATGTGGAACGTCTGGTGCGACAGCGCTTGCTGGTGGCGACAGCAGAACGTCCCTGAAGGAGCTCTTGCGGATCATCCGGACGTCGCTGTGGAGTCTGAGGCTCCCAGCAAGTCAAATATCCATCAGCCGGGCCCAGTGACAAGAATTGGATCTCAAAGAGCAATGAGCTTGGGAGTGTTCTTTCCCTTTTCACCAGGCAGTTTGTGCCATCTTCAAGTGATTTATCTCTATGATTTACATCACACAACACAAGACTCCAGGAAACAAAGTCGCTCAAAGCTGGGAACCGACTAATATACAGTACTAGTAGTATTCATTAGTATTCTGCTGGTTAGGTTTGTCTTGTGCACTGATTTGTGTTTTCTCGTCAAGCTTGTACATTCTTTTGAAGGAACTTGATGAGGTTCATCAACTCAAAAAGAATGGCACTCCAGCGCTACCTTAAACGGCACTGCTGTCAATGCTCCCCCCACGTCCCCAAATGGGTCAAGCAGACTAGACCACCATTTGGGGGTCTAGTCTAAGACAAAGACTCACACAGTACAATCACCGGTGGTCCATATGCTTCTTGAACAACGAGACCTGCACTCCAAAGTGTTGTGACTTTCAGCGACTCGCTAGGTGAGCCTTCAAGCTGGCGGGGGCACCGTGGAACCGGGTTCCTACGTGAAGCTCTGAGTGGCCTTTCCGGCCTTTTTATGCCAGCGATTCTGCAAGCATTCAAGGCCTATGCTCTCGTCTTCTCTTGATGAAAAGGTCTTCCCCCAAGCAAAAGGTGGATAACTCTGGCAACCATTTCTTCAGCCATGGCTCTCTGTCCCAAGCAAAATCTGGTTGCCTCAACATGATCGACAACCCAAGGGAGTTTCACCTTGCTCTTGCAAATTTGCTTTGGCATCTGCCTCCATCTTGGCCCCACCCAAACATCCCCAAGTTAGTTGTCATCATGACTAGAGGACAACTACCGTCAATATTACAATATGTTGCTAGCCTACCGTCCTTCTCCAAAGAGCAGAAATTGTTCGGACTCGGAACCCCAAGATCTGCTCGGACTGAACCTCCCTTCATTCTCAGTGGCCCTGTACAGGTACCCTAGTAGTGTCGTCCGATCGCTCCGTTCGTAGCGAGGCCAGCCCCTAGTCGCGTCTGATCGCTCCTAGTACTCACTCAAAGACACGTTACATGTCCATTACGGAGATTCAGTCCGGTCTGATGTCGAGCTCACAAGATCCGGCGTCAAACAGACATTGAAACCCACCAATGCTTTCGCACTGGTCCCCTCCACCTTGCCTTAAGCAGCCGCAGTGGCAGCATCGGCAGCAAGACCTTAGACTCACAAAAATCGGTGACAGATCTGACGGATCTTGATCTTAGATGTGTGATCCCTGAAGTTCCTATGGAGTGGTAGGGTAGTCACCTGCAAAGCAAGCCACAGCTGGACAGCAAAAGTTGCTGGCTCCTACATGCCTACGGCTTCCAACTGGCGGACATATGATTGGTGGACATGCCTACAAGGCGGAGAACCCAAAAGCAAGCTCGGCTCACATGCATCAATTTGCTGGCTCATGCGTCTGTGTAATTGACTGGTGATCAAGGTGATCACATTTTGCTGTCACACCAAAAATGTAAAGGAACGTCAAAAGGGAAAGCAGGGATGTGACGGGATGTACTACATCTCCTCTGCAAAGCCTAGTTTGCCGCAAGCCCTTGCTTATGAAGGAGCACGCCAAACTTCCCGCGAGTTCCCAATCATGCCACCACCAACAGCCTTCTGGTAGATCTTTCCTTCACTTGCAAAAACCACATATGGCACCTTCTTGCCGATGTTGTTGACAACGGTGAATTGACATTTTCCTTGTTGACCTCCTTTGTACCACTTCTCCATGACAGTAGCTTGCCTTGCGAAGTATTCTTGCCAGTGACGGCCGTTGTAGAGACAAATTCGCGATGAGAGTTGCTTGTCATCTGCATTGAGTTCCACTGCATCAAAGTACCATTTCGCGTGGTTCGCCGGGAGCTTCACGGAATGGTCGAGGCCTGCCTCCATCAGATGATCATGTGCAGCGGTGACGTCACTTCCATAGGCCTTAGAAGTGGTTCAACCAGGAAAATGACTTTAACCATATTTATACAAGGAAACACTTTTATGTCTGCTCTCAACCTAGCATTAACTTTGCTACCTGGCTTTCATTCACTCCGGATCCATTTAGCCAACTACTAAATGGACCAAATGTTCTCTTCCACGTTAGTTTTGCTGGAGAAAGAAAAACCTGACTGCTGGAGCAGGCCTGCAATTGGGTGATGATGTTGAGGCCTCCGGAGTTTGAGCCTTCACTCACAATCTTGTTGGTGATAGTAGGCAAGAGCGTTGAAGCATGTTGTGTGAACCAAGCTGGCGAGCTTTCATCTGAATGCTCTTGCCGCGCGTGCAAGCCTTTCTTGACCTCCTCCCACTTGCCCTCTTCTGCCAACAATGACAAACTTGGAAACTCCATCGTCTCCAGCACAATGTTGGTGGTTAATAACATGTCTGTGCGACTCACAAGTCTGAATTTGGTGTATGGTGGGTAAAGGACCTCGTTTTCATTCGGATACTTGGACAGGTGGTGGATCTGTGCGGGCACAATGAGGTCATTGAACAGGTCCTTTAGCTCATGCTCATCCCCCTTCTGTACTTCTAGAGCCTTGTTGCAGTGGATCTCGAAAACGACATTGCCCTTGAAAGCACTACTGGGACTTGTAGAAGTAGACGAAAAAGCCTCCCAAAGTACCACCTCTCCCACCTCGTATTTCTGCAGGTCAGAAGAAGACAGGTTGCATCCCCTCCACACAGTTCCGACAAAAGGCTTCAGAACCGAGTGAGTCTTCATGGCGCTGAGACCAAAGGGCTGCATGGTGAGGTTGATCAAGCTGCCGTACTCCTTGAGCCCAGTCATGTCGTCGTGGCGCAAAGCCTGGTTCATTTGAGCATAGACGCTGTTCTCGCTGTAGAGACGGATGGCAGCCTTCCACTTTTCCACCATTGCTTTGCCTCGGGCATTGCCCAGAAAGTGCTCATAAGGCTTTGAGGATGAAGTTGAAATCACAAACTTCACAAAGTTCGGCTTGAACTTCGGCTTCGATTCTTGCGGTGTTTCTTCACCCACAGTCAGTGGAGCAGCAGCACTCAGACCAAACAACCAGGCTAACACCAACCTGACTTCTAGAGCCACAAGGTCTTGCAAGTTCCTCACGTTTGACAAATCATCAGGCATTGCTCTGGGCAATCTGGCTTTCAACTACTCTGGCTGTGAACTCTGGCTGTGAACTGCTGCAGCAAGCACCCTTTCTGTGCGAAAGCGAAGCACTCCGAACTCCCTGTAATTAAATGTATATAAGACATAGAACAGAGATGAACCACCAAAGTCTGAGAGTGCAAGACAAAAATGATATTGAATGGCTTCTATTGCGCGGCTTCACCAAAAAATGAGTTAGAAATGCTGGGCATGCTAGTGCCAAAGAGTAGACCAAAACCTGAACAGCAAACCATCGAGTCAATTCTCATCTCTTACTGCCCTTCTTTTCACCAGTCGCCGGTTCCAAAGCTTCCGGAACCTGGGGCAGCTCTCCCCTTAAACCTCCTCCGGAACATACCCCATCTCTCCCAAAGCCCCTGGAACCTGCTTCCCTTGCAAGGGGGTCCCACTCCATTTGCCGATCCGATGAAAATCAAATGCAGCAGGAGTGACGTGGAGTGACGACATGGAGGTCCAGCGGTGTTGTCCAGCGGCCTAGCGGAGTTGCACCCTCGCGGCGCGAGCGGACGTCGAAACCGGTTTCGGTGATGAGTGGCTCAAAGGAGCTGATGGCGAAGCCGCAGAGCCAACATCTCAGCAGTTCATGTAAGCCTCATACGTATTCGTTCCCTGCAAACAACTTTGCTGACAAGTCAAGGACTAACCATGACGTGGGGATGTGTCGCTTTCTTCAAATTGGTAGAAACTTGCGGATGGGTTGACTTTCCCGTGTATTTTCTGACCTGCGTCTCCCTAAGCACATCTGTTCATCTTTCCGAAGGCCCTTGGTGGTTTCCTCACAGCTGTCCAGGTGGGAAGCATAGCCTGCGGGTGATGAACTTCAGAATTGCCCTGACCATCATTTCGATCACACGTAATCACACGCATCATGAAGCGGATGAAAACTTGTTGACCATCATCTCAATCTCGGATATGGAGTGTCAACACTGCTCCTTCTTGATATTGATATTGATGGTCAACATTGCTCCTGGTGCTTGATCATGGTGATATTGATATATACCAGGCTGCCTGAATTCAATCACAAGTGTCCCGTGTGAGTGAAACCGTCCATCGTCTTTCAAAGCAAGAGCACTGAAGAGAGCAAAGGCAGCGGGGGACTCCCAGAATCTGAGCCAGCGAATGGCTCGCTGGCTCCTACAAACGATGTTTCTGTCTGGGCCCAAGAATGGAATCTAAAGAAGTGAATAATATGAGTATAATGACACTTCTTTAGATTCCATTCTAGATTCACTTCTTTAGAAGTGAGTATAATGACACTAGATGACACTAGTATATATACTAGTATGACACCTCACCAGGACTCCCGCCTCAACCAGCTGGAGTCCTGTTCTCGCCATGGCACTAGTTCACATGTCTGCATGTCTCTGCAATGAGGAGGTGCACTGGTGGTGTACATCTTTTGCCCTCCTTTTCATTGAATCTGCATTGTTTACCAAAAAGTGTGTTCTGTATGTCTGGCGCAGGGTAGGAGCAGTACTAGGAGTAGTTGCAACTCCAATTCATCGATCCATTCCTTCTGTCTGTGGTGCACTTTGCGGGACTTGTGCGTGAAGCGATTGGATGTCCAAGTGAAAAGCTCGGGTCACTGTCCTGCAACTCCTCTACAGGGACAAACTTCCGAAGCAACAATTCATGGTCGATGGTTTTCAGGAGGGGATTTTACATTTACAAACCATGGGGAGTAAAACGGTTTTGGGAAAACATGTGTTTTTTCCCATAAGAACCACCCTTCTCATGTCTTGGCCCTTTGTCGGACTCCTGTTTCGAGGTCCGGGGGCCCGGTGTGGCTTTGGCGAGGTTGACATGAGACCCGCCGGCGGCGGACACATCCGAGCCGCTCCCGGAACGGCTCCGCACAGCCCGCTTCAGCCAGGTCTTGGTCATTTCATGTCATGTCCATGTACCAATCAGGAGGTAGATCGAATGTGGGGATGTCTTCCTCCGAGAACTGGTGTCCTCAGTCATTCGTCTTCGATACCGATAGACGACATCTTCGATGAAGTAGGATGAGTATCATGTTGTATTCAGTCTACACCACAAAGTGTACGCACAAAGTCTGGTCAAAGAGATCACTACTTAGTTCCCTCGCAGTTCTTCAGCAAGTGCATCTGGAGGCTTAGACTCATATCCATCCATCCAATCCACTATCAACAATCAACAAAAAAAGCCCTTTGGGGGATCTGTTTCATGGGGCTGCTTGCAGATCTCCATTATTCTCCCCCCCTGCCGGCAAATATTAATTTCCATGCTTCTTGGCTTTTATGGTCTGATAAAAAGGTGTTCATCTTTCTAACACCTCCCAAAAAGGGAGCAACCCAGAGCCAGCCTAGGTCGCAAGTGGGAAACCAAACCGACGGTCGGCGTCTGTTGGTGTATCCAAAACCAGGTGGGTGGGGTGAGCCGTCTGTTGGTGTATCAAGACCAGAGGCGAACATCCAATAAAAATGAACGACTACACTTTCTGGAACGTCCTCATGGGCCAATGTGGAAAACGGCCCCGATTTGGGATGAACCACACAATCCAAAGACTGAAGTTCGTGGTGAACTCCACGTAACCATAGAATTATACTAGGGAGTGTAATGGTTCTCACTTTGTGGATGCGAAACTCTGCCAGGCTTAGAGGTGGTTCTTGTGTCAACCCACAGCTTACTACTTGTTGGTATGGCGAACAGCTCATCTGTCAGATAGGACCTGAACGAAAACTTCACAGCTCCTCACACACCGAAGCATGCTTCGCAAATCCGTTCGTAACTGAACTGCTACTTACCGGCTAATTAGTAGAGTTACGAACGGATGAAGGCGTTCCATCACTCCAAACACATCCAAAATACTCTGTCCACAAATTCACCCGAGATGGCTGAACCCCTCCGCACACCCTCCCGCAGCGGCCGAGGAGGTATCATGCCTTAAGGACCTTTGCAGCGGATCAAGAAGCGAGAAGGGTGGGGCCGGGTGGGAGTGGATGGGATGGATGGGGTAGAGCTCCCTGGAATCATCATGGTTTCAGTGGAGTGAGTGAAAACCACCTGTTTGTAGAGGAAATGTTGCAACATAGTACTCTCTAAATATCATGACATGGCCATAGATCCACCAAGACTTCATTTCAATTCACAATTCACAGATGTCCAAAGTTCAGCTGCTTTGAGTCTTTGAGCAGGAAAAACATCAATGAAGTGAAGCAGGTCCGGTGGACAATTCGACAGCCCATCTTCGGGATCTCGGCAGTAGGACCAGTAGTCTCTGTTTTCGACGACTCGTGTCTTCCTCTGCAGAAATCGGTTCAGTGGCAATCATGCGTGAAAATGAAGACGCAAGGAGATGTCATACACTTGACACTTATTGTTCACTCTTGTCATCCCGGGTCAGCAAACGGTTGCAAATCTACGGTCGGCAATTCATCGGTTTAGCATGCCAAAAGCCTTTGGCCCCCGAACCGCACCTCGGATCGGACCTTCTCTTCCCGCCCGGCCCGCAAGTCGGACCGTCCACCAACCCGGGTGGGAGCCCCCGGCTTCGCTATAGAGCTCCGCATGCGTGTCTGGGTGATCCCCTGCGACGTGTCGACGTGCTCGCTCGACTCGGCGCGGCGGGGTGCGATCGACTCGTGGGGATGGGTGAGCGACTGGGTAGGGTGAGGGGGATGAGGGACGGGGGTGGGCGATGGGGAAAGAAGATGTGCAAGTCCCTGTCTCAGCCGGTGCCGAAGTGGTGAACCAAAGAGGTTCCTGATCTGCTGAGCTGCAACCGAATTGTCCGAAGGAAATGAAAAAAAACATTAAGACTTGGACCCTTTGAAATGCAAGGTGGTACGCTCTTCTGTCAAGTGTCCCAGTCTGCCGAGCGTCGAGTTTCCGGCTAGAAGTAGAAGTGCCAACCGAACGCGTGCTAACCGCTGACCGAGTTTCGGTGGTATTGAAGAGATGAGGAGGACACGACCGGTTCTCAAACCCGATGGAACGCAGAAGAACTTCAGCAAGTGACAGAAGAACTTCATCGGCCCCATCGGTCTACCGGAGAAGTCACAGAACTTTCTCCACATGTTGGAGAATAGATAATAGCATTCATGGATGGCCCAAGTAAAAGTCTGCACATTCACCAGCTGACTTCTATCAAAATACGTCATGCGTTATCATCGTTATCACTAACTTATCACCCGTTCCAGAGGTCCTGTATGAAATGTGCTGCAAGTTCATCAAACCTAAAGCCTAAGCACATGCCCAATTCAATGAACTGTCACAGCTTGTATGCGTGGTGCTCTTTCATAGCGTAGTCCTTCGGTGACCAGTTGGATATGACTGGTGGAGACTGCAAACCCTGTTCAGCTTGCGACAACCGCGTGAGTCGTTTGTGGGTTTCAAAGCAGCTCATGCGGTCATCCCAAACGCTATGCTCTAACTCCAACCATCAACGGCCGAAGATGGGCCTCCTTGGAACGGCCGAAAGGTAGGGAACTCCAGAAATCCTCCTACTGCAAAAGGAGGCAGTTCACTGGATCAGTGTCCTTCTTCTTGCATTTCACTGGAATTGCATGAAGGCCTTCTGCAGCTTTCTTTGGTGGGCAATCCCCAGCAACACTCGTGAAAAACGAACCCTTCCAGTCTGAACCCAAACACATGTGGACGGTCAGTGGTTCATGTCGGGGCCATGTCGATTCCTCCCAAAGGACATTCAAGAAGAGTGTGTCTCTTGGGCGGTTTATGTTAAAATCTGGCGAAGACAAGGTCGACCTGCCCTTAGGGACCGGGATGCTCCCTGTTGAGTGTAGAATCTGGATACTCCAGGTTCCCCTAGCTCCCTCCAGCTCGCACTAGCCAACAAGAAGCTACTAGTAGCTCCTGGCATCGCTACTAGGAGCATTCTTACTACTAGTAACCAGAAGCTACTAGGGGCTCCTGGCCTTACTACGAACGGAGCGATCGGACGCTACTAGTACCAAAGCCCCCGGCACAAGACCACGGTCTGGGCCTTGCACGTCCGCTCGGCGGGCGCCCTGCAGCAGGGTGGTCACCTGATCGACGGTCGACCGTCGACGGTAGAGCCCTCAGAGCCCTCACATCTCTCACTAAGGGTGTTTGTCTTTCGTCCCAGTTAGACTACACCACG